TTAACAAAATAATTTTTTAAGATAATAATTAAGTATTTTTATTAAAACTCAATAATAATCTTAATTATATTTTAAATTTTTTATATTTAAAATAATGTTTATCATGTATTTGATTATGTTTATCTGCATTTGTTACACAAATTCAAACATGAAGCTTTAATAAAATGTACTCATGCATGTTCTACTTGTTTTGTAATCTTGAATTTTAAGTAATATGCATCAAAACATAGTACTTTATGTATAAAAAAATGTTTTTAAGAGTTTTTTGTCAAATACTTTATAATATAATATAGATTAAATATTTTAGAAATGTAAACTTGTTCAAGTGTTACTTACTATTCCGCTAGTTTGTTTGTAACTCGATTTAGAAGTGTTTATCGATTGAAATAGGTTGAAATCCAATTGATTTATGTTTCCAATCCAATCCAATTAACATTAGACATCCAATTGATTATTTGTGAATTGGTCAAAACGGTTTCATCTATTGGATATTATTATTAGTTTTTCATTAGATTAATTCAATATTTTGATACAATTTCCAACCAGTTAATTAACTATTTCAACCAATTATTTATATATTTTCTTAATTTATTTTTAAAAACTACTTATAAATATCAACTAAAAAATAATATTGTATAGTGATAATAGTTATATATATATATATATATATATATATATAGTTATTAATTGGATGGTAGTTGAATGATTATTGGATTGAACCGGTTTGGTTTTTATTAGATTATGTACTGTCATCCAAGAACTGACGGATCCAATCTAAATGTTGAAATTTTGGAACCGTTCCAATTACAGTTAGTTATTTGATTATAGTCGATCATATTCTAATTAGATCAGTTGACTTTCTGCTTACTCCTAAAGCTCAACTAATTCCACAAAGTCCTATAAACAACGAGGAAAAGAAAAACCTCATCGACGTTGGAGAAAATCAAGTTGGTAACCTTTGGCGGTGTTAGTCCCGGGCCCTATCTATACTATATTATAAAGCATTTGACAAAAACTCTTAAAAACCATTTTTTATTCATGAAGTATTATTTATTGATGCATATTACTTAAAATTCAAGATTACAAGTAATTTTGCATAAGTACTATTTATTAAAGGTCTATATTTGAATTCGTGTAACTAACTGCAGATAAACATAATCAAATACAGGATAATAAAACATTTTAAATATAATTAAGATAATCATTGAGTTTTAACAGAATGTTTAATTAGTATTTTTGTATAAATTACTTTGTTATTAGACCTAAATTAAATTATAATAAAAAATTGAATTAAAGAGGTTACAACAAAAAAAAAGAACTATTAATTTATACTATATTATACAGCATTTGACAAAAACTCTTAAAAACCATTTTTTTATGCATGAAGTATTGTTTATTGATGCATATTACTTAAAATTCAAGATTACAAATAATTTTGCATAAGTACAACTTATTAAAGTTCCATCTTTAAATTCGTGTAACTAACTGCAGATGAACATAATCAAATGCAGAATAAACATTCTTTTTAAATATAGAAAATCTAAAATATAATTAAGATAATTATTGAGTTTTAACAAAATGTTTAATTATTATCTTTATATAAATTACTTTCTTATTAGACATAAATTAAATTATAATAAAAAATTGAATTAAAGAAGTTACAAAAAAAAAACAACTATTAAATAGTTAATTTTATACTAATATCGATTTTATTTTTTTTAAAATTTTATGTCATCTTCAAATTTATATTCATTCAAAAATAAAAACATTATCGCTCTCTCAAGACCATACAAAATCGTATTATATCGATAGAGACAAAGAATAAAAACTAAACGTTAAAATGAAGATTTATCTCGCTGCATTGTACGAGTACCCTTCTAGTTACTAGTAAAGTAGCCGTTCAAGGTTTTATTTAATTTTTTTGTTATAATTGATTATCTAATTTTATTCTGCTCTTATTTCTTGAATAATATAATAATATTTTAAAAATATTAAATACCATTTTATATAACTCACATAAATTTTAAATTATTCGATGAACATATGTGACTTAAGATAAATTAATATTCTATTTGTTTCAAAATAAATGTTCACAATAAAAATGATATATAGTTTTAAATATGTATAATTATTATATCATTTTAGATAAACAAATAATTAGTTTAATTTATTTATTTTATCAACTTTTAAATATTTATGCATTAATTAAAAATAAATTTAATAATTTAGTTATCGAAAATTAATTTTGAAACAAACATAGAAATTTGTGAAATCAAAATATATATATTTGAGACCAAAGAAGTTATAAGAATTGGGATTTTTTTTGGTTTAAGCAATAGAAAAAAATAGAATGAAAATAAAAACATCAGGTAATGAGAATGAGAATGAATTTTTTAAGCAATTTTTACAGCTATTTTATTTTAGTAATTTTAGAGATTTGAATTTTTTTTAAAACAGAAATTCGGGCTTCTAGGAGAATGAACCAATTATATTATATAAATCAAAATCTTATATTTAATTATATTAATAATTGTTTAATACCTCTAACCAAACATCCCCTAAAATAGGTATGAGAATATGGCAGGGACTTCAATCTCATCCTCGTCCCAATCAAAGCGTAAAAAACAAAAATAAGTTCAATTGTTTAAAAACTTCCATTTTCCCTTAATGTTGGCTCCTTCAAGACTTCTTACCATCAAATTTAATAATCCACCGTATACTTGACAATAAAATGTAAAAGATTTTTTTTTAATTAATCTGGATATCCAACTGGCTATGCGAGCCGATTAATCTCAGGACGATCACATGCTTTGCAAATAGCTTGAAATCACCGCATTTGAACCTCTGTGGCCACAAGGGGATTTTTACTCATTTAACTTGTGGTTAATAAATAAATAATACACATATGTAGTATTAAATATTACATATACATTATATCCAATCCTTTTTGGATACCCGCGGATACCTAAAATTAAAAATCGAAACCGACCCACGAATACCCGATTTTTTCAGTTTTTCGGTTTTTTGATTTTCTGTTTTCTCGATTATCAGTTTTTTAGGTTTCGGTTCAAACGGTTCACCTCGATTTCTCGATTTTCTGGATTTTTTGAACACCCCTACCGTGAAATCTCTAGCCCTATCAAGACGGATACACCGAATTTCCCAATGAATGGGTCTCGTTTGCATACCTACCCTCAATTCCTCAAACACAATCCACGTTAATTAATGTATGAAAGGCGAATACAGTGGCTTGATGATAGAGTGGGCCAGCCCATAAAGGCCATGTGGGCTTACCATCGGGTCAGTGTATAATGTATATGCAAAACAAAATACTTTTTGACATAATACTTTTATTTAAGTTATAATATAGGGTTGAGTTCCAGTAAAAAAGAAAATTAAGGGCATTCGGAAATATTTGTTAGGGGCTATTTACCAAATATTTACCCAGTAAGTGCTTAACGGTAAAATTTAACATAATTATTTACTTACCGGGTAAAATTTTAGTCCACCAAAACGACATTGTATGCAACAATTTACTCGGTAAACGGTTACCGTGGTAAAAGTCGCCGTCCTCACTTACCGGGTAAGACTCTTGGTCTCTGTCTCGCTCTTACAGGGTAAGATTTTTGGTCCTTATCATATTCATCCGGTAAAATAATATTACTTAATAAGCCTTATCCGGATAAGCATTTGGTAAACGACCTCTTATACATTTATGCCCATAAGGGTATTCAGAAGATAATGTCTTATTCATTTGGATATGAATTCTTTAAATTGGCGGTGTTTATGATAAGCCACATGTCTATGCTAAGATTAGGTTAGTTATTCGGTTGCATATAAATTAACCCATATGTAATAATGTATGACATTTAATGAATACATTATAACTTATTTTAAACTCGTTTTATATTCTAAAAATACGATATTTAACATTGCACCATTTATTAAATCACTAGCCCGGGGTCCATTAAGTGGATCAAAAACAAACGTCTTATATTATGTAAAATTATTTCGTTTATAAATATAAAATGAAACTTTTACCAGTAAGTTTTTATTAACAAGATAAAAATGAAATTAAGAACTTATCAGTATTAGATTCAAACCCACCATGTTCATTGCATAGATTCCAAATAGCTTAAAAAATATATAAGGGTTTTATCGTTTTGGATAAATAATTTTAAACGTTATATACATGATGGTATGCAATAATATGCGTGGTTTCAAATATTAATCGCTCAAAAATAGCAGTTCATCATAGCAACTAGCAACCCAATCATGACCGCAAACAAGTCAATACATATACCCTGTAATAATTGTTGATGAGAAAAAAAGTTGTTTGAAATTAATCATGTCCAGTATTATTGAAATATATATTTTAAATAATATATATAACTACATATATCTCCATTTAAATTAGTGTTCAAGGTCTATACGGTTATAATTAGGGTCGTCCCTTAGCATGTTAAATGTGAGATTTTGAACAGGACACCCAAAAATTTTGGGGCCAAATTTTACATGTGTTTAGGTCTTTTTATCGACATATGTAAAACTATAGCCGAAGTTATTTAGGTTCAAATCATTAATTGTTTGGTTTTAGGTTCAAATCATTAATGGTTTTCTGTTTAGTTTCAGATTGTTAATCGTTTAGGTTTCGTCCATTTTTGTTCTTAACAATTTAACATATATTCTCTGTTATCTCATTTATGCAATGTAATAAAAAAAATTGGATGTAACAGGGCCTCCAAAAAGATTGGAATGTCTCTGGTTATAATCTGTTTAAATTGTATAAATTCGTTAAAAAGGTAAGCTCTTACATCAGTTTGGTTTTCGGTTGAGTTGATCAGACGTCAAAACTTGAACAGCCCGAATGGAGTAAAATAAATTACCTAAAAGGTTTGAACCAACTTGTTTGGACACCCCTTTTCAGGTGTTCTTTTTTTATTTATATCTCAAAGTTATCAAACTTAGAAATCCAATACATTCAAGAAGAAAAAAAGGCAAATATGAATCAACGAACACGTTTAAATGGCTTATTACAATCAACAAGTTATGAACCCAGATCAAGGGTATGGTAGAGTTGCTATGTGATTATGAGCCACTGTTCCGATCCACAACGTCCCATTGGCTTCTCTAACTTCACTAACTAGCTTCATAACGACCCCATTCTTGTCTTCAAGAACATCCAAGATCTCCCCTTGTTCGTCAAAAAGGGATATCACCGAGTACATTTTCATTCCCATAACCCGAGCCAAATAGCGCATCTGAAATGGCAATCGAAAGTATACACTCCTCATCCAAGGGTTGTTCGTCAGTACTTCTTGAGCCTTAGTCCTACAACAGTCGATAGCCACCCAAAATTGACCCTTTTCGTTTATTCTTATGTTGTCGGGAAATCCAGGTAAGTTCGCTACCAGCTCGACTTTTCCTCTCTTTTCACCCTCTATCCACAATTTCATAAGCCTAAAAAAGTCCGACAAACTCTTCATTATAAATACCATCAATTTTTTTAGAAACACGTAATTTTTTATAATATTTTAAAATATGACCTCATTGACGCAACGAGTTTATAAAATTACCTGCAATTTGTAGTCTCGGTAAATAAAAGAAAGGATTGGTCCTTGGACAATTGAACTCCATTCGGGAACGCCAACCCATCCAATACAACATGAGTCGACTTCGTCGGAGGGTCATATCTTAAAAGTCTTCCACTTGCCTCTCCTTCCAACATTATGAAAAAATGGTTCCTAAAATAATACCAAATCGACATCAGAGTTGTTCATCGAGTCTAAGTCTAAATCAGGTGAAATTCAAAACAACGAAATCAAAAATCAAACCAACAAATTTGTTGCCCCGACTCATGAAACTGGTAAACGGGTCTTAAAGCATCTACAACAAATTTGAAAAAACCTTTAAAATAGAAAAACCGTTAAAATTAAATATCGTTTTCCTTAAAACTCGACTTTTTGGTCAATTTTTAGAGAAATTATAATTTTTTTTTATTAGAGATGCCGTTAAAGAACACCAATATATAAAAAGAGTTATGAACTTACACTCTATTATACTTCTTGCTGGTATCTGTAAAAAAGATGGAGCCATTGCTATGTATATCGAGATCGTTTGCAAAGATTATGGGTTTCCCGTCAATCTCGGTGGCTAACGGTGTTGCATAGCCACCATTAGGGCCAACCACCATAAGTCCGTAGTATGCATCAGCAATGTACAGATTTCCATTACTTTTGTCAAAACGCAGTCCAAGTGGCCGTCCGCAAAACGCTTCCATCTTCCATTGCTTGTATGTCGTCGAATCTTTTCCCGTAGCACATTCTTCCGACCTTTGCAGGTCGTAGATTAAGCTTTGTTACTTTTACACAAACCATGCATATCAAGGGCACATATACGTGCATACATATATACATAGCATCGTATACGACATCTATTTGTAAAACATTAATTATAAATCACAAATGCATTAAGAGTAATTAGAAGCGTACTCGCGCAATGCAGCGAGATACATCGTGATTTTAATATTTCATTTTATTCTTTATGTCAGTCGATGTTATAATATGGCTTTATGTGATTTTGAGAAAGCAATGATGTTTTTGTTTTTGAATAAAATATATAGACCCATTCTCATACGCATTAAAACAATATAGCATATTTAGACATTTACGTACAGTTTTAAGTGACGACATATAATTACAAGTTTTTTTTATTTAAATATAAATTTTAATTTTTTTTATCAGAAGTTGTATTAAAATTTCACATCATGTTGAATCCGCAAATTACAAGACAGGTTCAAATAAAAAGAACAAAAAATGAAAAGATTGAAACAAATCTCAACCGTTAGTTGTGTTCTATACAATTAACATGATTTAAAAAATGGTTAAAGCAAACCACAAGGTGGTGTCTGATTGGTTTGAGCTTGGCTCTAAAGGTCAAAAGTATCAGGAGGTCACAGATTCAAATCCAAAGAGGAATAAGAATCCATTTGTGGCCACAGAGGTTCAAATGCGGTGACTCCAGGGCTATATGCAAAGCAGATGGTCGCCCTGGGATTAATCGACTCGTATAACGGGTTGGATATCCAGGTTAATAAAAAAAATGGTTAAAGCAGATTTCCCTCTATTTTTAATTGAAAATGGGTGCAATATAATCTAAATTGGAGCCAAATATATTATATCAGAAACCGAGCAATTTTATTAATTTTAATTCGACATCCATATTATCGTGTTTTTCATTCGTTTTTTATCCTTTTTTTTTCTACTTCCATTTGGACCGTCATCTATATGTATGTAAGTATGTATCTTTTTTAAACGTTATTTTTCTAAATGTTAGACAAGTAGAATAACAAGTCAAAACTATAAGCTTAGAAATTTGAACGTTACCATTTTTTAGACACAAGAGCGAATGTTTCCCATCCTCGATCTTCGCCTAACCACTTCACAATCCGACCATCAGCTAAACCAGTATACGGTCCATGTCCTAACGGATCAAATTCCAACGATTCGGGTCCAAACACTTGATCCACAAACTCCAAGTTCCCGAGCCCCAATCGGCTAAGATTGTCCTCTGGCCAACTCTCCATCACTTGGTTGTAAGGCGCAATGTCGTTTTTCACCGGTCGGAAATCATGTCCCCCCACCGGACTCAATTCAAAAGGGTCCATGATCAAAAACCCTAAAGCAATAGCAAGCAAAAGAATCAGATGTTGTTGCAATCGGCCATCTTCATGCTCCGTTTTGCTTTTCTTCTCCATAAGTAGACTGATTTTATCCCGACCTTTTGCGCATTCAAGGAAACAAATGAAAAAAGGTCAAAACGAAAGATGTGATCCGGGTTTGTAAATGGTATTGAAGCATGGATTTATGTTGTAAGATGATGGCATGCATTTGTTGTGAAATCATAAATAGGTTGAATTTAGGTTGGCTTTTTGTTGGTCATGAATTGTGCATTTGGTGATCTTGATGTGTTCTTCCTATGCCACTTTATTTTTTTCAATCTTTATGAATCTTTTGACCATTTCTTTACCGTATATTTATTTTTAAATAAAAAATAAATTCGATTTCTAAAGTTTATAAAAGAAGCATGTACTTGTTAAACCAACAATTAGGTTATGTCTAGGTGGCAAATGGACTTACTAGACGAATTGAATAACATATCAAATCAGATTAAAATGAAATTGGTAAAAAAAAAAGAGACTAGTTCGAGGCACGCTAAGTTGGGTGGATTACGAAAGCAGGTATGTCATCTTCTTGAGCATCAACTACACTGGTTTCACGGCCATCGGTGTCCCTTAGACAAATGGATTGTGCCCAGATTTAAATCGAGATCTCACTTATGGATTACAACCTCCTTACTACTCGAACAATTAAGATGGGATGATATATGTCTGTTCACCTTGTTTTCAACGAGGCATGTATTTGTAATTGAAAATCAAATGAATAGTCATAGCGGTCTTACCAGTTGTCTTTGATTAGTTTGAGTCTATTTAGGTTGCTAACATGTGGTGTTTATTTTAAACAATTTATGGCATCGATCAATCGTACCTTTTTAACATATATAGATTTGCATTAGAAAAGTTGTGTAAGCAATAATATACTTGCACAGTATATTACCAATAGGAGTATTCATGGGTTGAGTTGATTTGGTTGAAGACATTTGAACAACCCAACCTAATGTTTGTGATTTGGAAAAATCTTAACTCAACCCAACCCAAACCAAAGTGCAACCCAACCCAACCCGTACGGGTTGGTCGGGTTGATACTTTGGTATATTAAAATATTTTTATAATCTTGAATATGTTATTTCTCTACTCATAATTTCTTTTTCGTCATCAACCATTTGATACAACTTATCCATATTTTTTTACGTATATCACATTCAGTTAATTTTCTCAATTTACATATATATGTTCATAGTTACTGAACATATATATGAATGAGTTATACATAGATGTGAATATATTGAAAATTGTTGGATTAATATGATTATTAATTGTCTCAATTTATATGGAAAGCGTACATGATAATGTAATTGTCGTAATCCATGAATAATTGATCTTGCATATTGCATATTCTTATAAAGTTGTGGATCACCAAACAAGCAATTACAATGTTTCATTGTATTAAAAAAGGATAAGGGGTCATTTGAGTCAAAATTGGTAAGCTTGCTCTCAATACACCAAAAGCACGTTCAATAACATCTTTGAGTTGTGCGTGGACACGATTGAATCTCTCCTTCTTTGGTCAACGCACGTCGACGTCGAAAATCAGCTAGCCAAATATCTTGTATTGGGATATTGGAGTCAAAAACCCACGAGTGTTAGCATATGCAACATCATAAAGATCATATTTTTCTACATTTAACATGTAAATAAAAGTAGTGTTAAGTAAAACGTATAAGAAATTTATTATATTTAATACTAGTTATAAATTAAAAATACATGGTGAAAGAAAATGGAAAGCCAGAAATTGGGTTGAGTGCGACTTCTCTTAACATGTGATTGCATTCCAGCAGGTGAAACCAAAATAATAAAAGAGAATGGATGTAGTGATGTGGAGAGTTCTTACAAGGGGCGTCTCTGGTTTGGAGATTGTGCGCCAATGCGTTCCAAAAGATGGTGCGTCGTTGTATTCTTGAATCCAAAGTCGTCGGTTGTAGCCAATAGATGGAGAATCGAGAGATGAATGAGAGAGTAGAGTCAAACGGGAGAGTCGAGAGAAACGAAGAGGTGAGGGCAAGCATCAGAATATTGGCAATCTGAATCATACGGGAAGTGGGAGGGTGAAGGAGCAATTCAAGGTTGAATGAGCGATTCAAACATTTTTCATAATCTACCCAAACAAAAAAAAAATATTTGACCGATTCAGACCTTTACCCCTTAATGGTATCATTAAGAGGTAAACAAACAACTACTTAACCTATACTCCACTAAGTTCGATAACAAAATCCGACATGCACTAGGAGTCCGTAGAAAAGTTTGATTCATAAATTGTTCTACAAAATCATGACCCATGATTTTGAAATAAATTTGTTATAAATATCTATGTTCAAGACTCATGGTTAAGACAAAAATACATTGTCAAATGATTTAACTACGATACCACAAAGATAAAAACATACGGCAACTGTGGTGTCAGTTGGGAAGCAACAACATTATATATCTTAATTTTATTAGTATAAAATCACGAATTAAATGATACATACATACATACATTGTGAAGGTAATCTTCATAGTGTTTTTGCTGTGAAGGTTCGGATTATTTTTATATTCACAATGTTTTACTGTGAAGTTTCAAGTGTAAAATTACGGTCTCATGAGTCTCACGAGTCTCACGAAAACAGATTGGTCTCATGTGTATATATATCTATACGTGTGTGTATAGATATAGATATTTATTATATTGAGACAAAAATGATTCTCGAAGTCATTTTCGGGCAACTGAATTATTGGAAGATTTGAAATAAATGTACGTAAATGGATGGAATTTGGTCCACATAAAAGAAATACCAACCAAAATATTGGTGGCCACTATAATGAAACTCATTCCTGGCCATGGAAACTTGTAACAATGAACCAATACCACCGCCCTGCTGTCTTCACCTCTATCTTGCATTTGATCTCCAGAAATCCCTCCTCCTTATCTTCAATCTCTCATCCATATCCTCTTCTCTCCGAAATTTTAGGGTTTTACCCTAAATCCTTGGTGTTTTTTTGGCATTAGATCATCGAATTACACGTGGATGTGCCCTAGATCTCCATAGAAAATAGTTGATTTGATCTGGATTAAGGAAGATGAAGATTCAGTGTGATGTGTGCGAGAAAGCTCCCGCGACTTTGATCTGTTGTGCGGATGAAGCGGCGTTGTGTGCGAGATGTGATACGGAAGTTCACGCTGCAAACAAGCTTGCAAGCAAGCATCAGAGGCTGCTCCTCCAAACACTCTCCAATAAGCTTCCCCCTTGTGATATCTGCCAAGTAATTTCTCTAGTTTTTAATCATCTTTTAGAATTTGATTTCATATTATCAGATATATGTTTGAAATTGATTATGTTTCAGTATTTGTTAATCAAATGCGTATGATCAGATCTTCATGGATTACGATATGATTTGACATCAAAATGTTGAAATTAATGTTTATGCATGATTATAGTTATAGTTTGGTTAGAGATAAATCATATTGGAAATTGATGGATACGTATATGTGCACAAATATATACATACATACAAACACATACATAAATACATATATATGATGAATATGTCTACATACTCACGTGTGCTTTGCGTGTGTACGTATTACGTAGACACGAACACATGTACATGTCACTCATATATATACGGAATCATACTTTTACACACACATATACATATATAGAAGCTTTTACAAACCCAATCATTAATATAAACCAATCAACTTAGATATTTATAGAAATGATAAGAGTTTATTTATTATGATTTGAATATTTATACAAGATTAGCAGAGTACAGTTATTAATTATTATGATCTAATGCTTAATATTAAAAAAATAATGAAGATATTCATTAATGAATGTTGTGATTTTTTTATATGTTTGTATTGAGTTTGTAAATAAAATCATTTTTACACACACATATATATATATATATATATGTTAACATGTATATGTGTGTATGTTTATCTACATGGTCGCTAACTCACAAACTATATGTCTTCATGTATGTATGTATATATATGTATATAAATGTTAACATGCATATGTGTGTATGTTTATGTATATTGTATACATGATCGTTAACTCTCACAAACTATATGTCTTCACGCATGTATTTTTTTCTCGTTCCAAAATATACATACAAGTGATGTTGTTTAACAAATCTGATAAAATATGTCTTACTTAAAAGATATTTTATATATATACGGACAATTTCATTTTAAGTGTTCCATTATTAATTTGCTTCTCGTATCGACGAATTAGAAGAGATGTCAACCGGCAACTGTATCAAACGTTATCGTTAAGCAAAAAAGTTGCTTTACTTTTTTAGTAACCAAAAAGCATTTGTCTTCTTTATAGTTAACACCATCCACAAGGCTCTTGCAACCCCCTTTTAGCAAAATGCAAATCGATGCCATTGCTGTCTATATTTTTAAAAGTGATTTGTAATTATAATTTACAAGTGTGTCAAGAATAACTGTAAAAACTGATATGAAATATTCAAGTCTAAAACATGTGGGATGGTGTAACTGAACTATAACTCTGTGTTACAGGAGAAGACGGCATTTATTTTCTGCGTAGAGGATCGAGCCCTGTTCTGTCGCGACTGTGATGAACCAATTCATTCAGCCGGCAGCCTTGCTGCCAACCACCAACGTTTCTTGGCCACCGGAATCCGGGTGGCTCTTAGTTCCAGTTCTGCCCAAGAGGCACCTGAGAAGAGCCACCATGAGCCACCACCTCCCTCCAGCAAGAATGTAACTGATCATGTGCCACAGGTTGTTCCCATGAAAACTCCCACGCACCAAGTTTCTGGATACACTTCCCCATCATGGGCCGTTGATGACCTGCTACAGTTTTCCGATTTTGAATCCCCCAACAAGGTAACCAAACTACCTATATATCAAATTCAGATGAGAACCATAAAAATGTTAACAACTTGAAAATATATCTCAACTGTTATACATATTTAATTCAAAAATAAATTACCCCGAAACTATCTATACTACCTTATAAACTAAAAAACAATTTTTAATGCACAAAATACTATACATTTATGCACAAAGTCTTAAAAGTCTTAAAAATAACTCATAATGCATTAAGTACTACTACTTTATGCATTCAGTCTTAAAATCTCTTGACATATGGTACAAGTTACCAATGCACATTATTACATTTTCTTTTCATGTTCCCAAGATACTTTTGACACATTTCCCTCATGTCTTCACCCTCTCATACCTCTATGTTTTCTCCCTATCCCCAAGGTGAAATTCAAACTAATATTCACCATGAGTTATTAAAAGTTCTCTCATTCATCTCTCATTCAATTGCTCTAAAACTCTCGGTCTCGCTTTCGGTCTCTTGATTATTTGCTCTTGGTGTAAATCGAACACATTTGTGGAGTCGTTTAAATATATTGGATTTTAAATATATTGGATTTTAAACTTTCATACAATTTTTTTCATCGATAGATTCTAACTGGAATCATAACTCTTATTTATTCTAATTGTATTAATGTATAAAGATCAAGTGTAACTTATATTATCGTTAAATCTTCTCTAATAAAATAGCGAAACTTTAAAATCGTTAAAATTCACAACTCCGCATTACGGGGTACACAACTAGTGCTATATATAATTAAAATTTAGAGTCAAACAAAATATAAGGAAAAACAAATATTTTATCTTTGACATTCATATTGTTATACTTTTTGCATTTATTATTTTTGTTCTCAACTTTTTTTACCGTTCTTATTTGAACCCTTCGAACTAAGTCCATATCTAGAGGTATTAAAAACGTCTATGAGAATGTGTGGAAATCCGTTAAATTACTTTTTGAAAGAATGTTTAAGGGGAAAATGGAGTATCCAACATATATTGGGAATTAGTCTATACAAAGTGAGACGCTAACAGTCTTGCATGAGATATACTAGATTCATTTGGTTTGATTTGTTTTCATTGTGAGGTATTAAAAACATATTCCATTGGTATGCAGAAAGAACAACTCGAATTCGGGGAGCTCGAGTGGTTGACCGACTATGCTTCCGTGTTTGGTGACGAAGCTGCCGAAGTTCCTCAGCTTCCAGCATCACAATCGATCAACACCACCTCATACAGACAAACCAAATTCTACATCCCGAATAACAAGAAACCAAGATATGAAATATCGAACAACGACGAGGATGACGACGAGCACTTCACCGTGCCCGATCTTGGTTAGACTCGAAGCTAAGCTTATAGGTTTTCGATATTTTCCCGTGAAAAAGTATTTGTTTGGTCCCCGTATTGTTAAATAAATACGTTTTGATCTTCGTACTAAAACTACTTACTTGCCCATTGGTTCAACCGATATATAAGAGGGTTGAGCTGTCTGCCTTGGCTAAAATGTGGTATGTTTGCTGGAAAGCAAGACCAATGGGTAAAAATGAACTGAAACTGAGTTATGGTAGCAAAATAAATAATTTTAATAGTTGAAGGACTAAAATGTATTTATATGAATAATACGAGGGCCAAATAATAAACTTTTTCTACTATAAAATAATAGAATGTAACCGAGACTAAAGTTTGTGTATGGCAAGCATTAATATTTGCAGATTCAGATGATGGATATTATTATAGCATCCTTTAAGTATCTTAAAATAAAAGTATATTATATTTAAAAAAAATTATGGTTGTACGGTTCTTGACAACCTATTTTGTCTCAGTAGAGTCTTTCAGTAGCATGTTTCTGTCATCTTCTCCATTACTTGGAAAAAGTGAGGCACGAGTTCAGGATATTATGGTTGTATGGATATTTACTGGAACCCTCCCCCTCTCCCTCTCCCTCTCCTAAATGAGCCTCTGATTCTAATGTGTTTGTTTGTGTAAACTGGTGTATGAAAATGACCATAAAAATTATTAATTTGTAATAAGTTGATGTATATATATATATACACACACACGTATTTTTGTAAGATGAAATATTTGTTTATACTTTTAAGATTTAATACTAATAATATATAACTTTTAAAGAAGTTATATTTCGCCCTTGATAAACAACCAGGGACGGACCCAGAATTTTTTCTCAAACGGTGGCACCATATAATTAATATAGTATAATATATATCTAAAAATAATTACAAAAAATATGGTTTTTATAGTACGGATAGGGCTGTAAATGAACCAAACGTTCAGCGAATCGTTAGGCTGGAAGTTCGTTTATTTAATAAATGAACGAAATGAACTATTTTCTTTTGTTCGTTTAGTTAAACAAACGAACATGAACAAGAGTCTCGTTCGTTCATTTATGTTCGTGAACGTTCATTCATTTACCGTTCATTTATATTTGTTTGTTTATGTTCGTTTATATATTAAGTTTAATATATTATATTTTATTTATTTACTTTGAATTCAAATAATATTTATTTATGTTCGTTTATGTTCGTTTGTTTACGTTCGTTTAGCATGTTTACGAACGAACATAAACGAACACGAACACACCTTATTTCTAAATGAACGAACACGAACACAAAGATTTTTGTTCGTTTACCGTTCGTGTTCGTTCGTTTGTTCAGTTAAGTTAAACGAACGAACATGAACAAGCCTTCGTTCGTGTTCGTTCGGTTCGTTTACAGCCCTAAGTACCGATAAACAACTCCTAAACTTGTACCCGATGCGTCTTCATCTTTTGAAAACGGTCAATATATACCCAAAAATAATTACAAAAAGTATGGTTTTGGTTATTTGGGTTTTGTTTTGTTTTGTTTGGGTTTTAGTTGCACCATTTGGATTTCAGGGAAATACGGTAGCACCTTCTAAAACGATACGGTAGCACCGTTAACAAACCTAAATTTTTTTACCCTTCCGCCGCGAAATAATACGGTGGCACGTGCCACCCATGCCACCACATTAGGTCCGTCCATGTAAACAACGCCTATGAATACTACACAACTCTCGCTTGTATATTCTTGAGCCGTAAATACTAGCATGCTCACAATTCAACAAATAAAACATAGCTTGCAATGCCTCGCAAAATTGAAAAAGGTGAGATGTAAATATTTGAAGCGTCTCAGGAAAAGGTACATGAAACTTACCTTAAATAGTGAATTTCTTAATCCTCACTTGCTTACAACCTACACGATACCGTTCTCACACATCTTGTATCAATCATAAAGTACAAGTGCTAGATTAAACTCATCTCAACATTTTGTTCCACCCCGACTACATCAAACCTCGGTCATTGTGACGTGGACGGGCGTCAAGACGATCTGGCATGCAAGCTTATACTCAGAGCATAGTGAAGCACCACACAACCTTGTGTTGCACCTTTAGGTCATGACGAGCTTGACCTGCAACTTGTGGCTAGCTGACGGCTATGTCCCTCTCTATCTGGACCAAGCGACCTCGTCGTCGTTGTAGATCATGTATGCTCTTCAACCACTACTCTCCGAAATTTATTGAACCAAAATTCAACTCTAACTCAAGTTTACCAATTCTTCTTTGCTTTGGTTCATTAAATACATACCTAGTAACTTCTTTGTAACATACAAAACAATAATTTTAAACAATGACTTCATACACAAATTTTTTGCTAGACAATGAATTAAGAACTCGAATTTGGGTGTTAAATTCCTAAATGACAGTTTTCATTCCATCCAAAAATATTTTATGAACCAAACACCACCTTAATTCCTACATTTTATTTATGATCAGATGGTTTGGGTGTTGCAACATACAAACTCAACAACACCACATGGATGATTTTCGAAATTTACTGTAGATATACACTTAATATTCGTAAATTTTATCAACAAGATTTTTGTAATAATAGGCTTTGTCTCCAGTAATTTCTAGTTTGATTTGAAATACGTAACAAATTATGTAAATAGATACAAATATAAAAATAGGGTCGGGTTCATGTGAAAATAAAAGTTATAGTGAGAAGGATAAGAATAGATCTTCACCCTTGAATCAATCTTAATTGAAGATCAACAATAATGAAATGCGATCAAAAGGTATATGGCCTAGCGGTATCATAGTCTCCTAGGAAGTCAGAGGTTCAAACCTCACCAAAGTTGTGAAGGATGTGTGACTTCATTTGTTGTACGTATATAAATATTATATACTTTAAAAAAAAAATAATGAGATACACCAAATCAATTCTCGTGAAAAGTGCAATTGATAGGGTGAGGTAAGATTAAAAATGATCAAGGATTCGGATTTTATCTTACTTTCTATTCTTACACAATCATTTGGTCTATAAAAATAATAAATAAAAAAATAAATAAAATCAGCATGTCATTTTCTAAACTTAACAATTATCCACCAAATTTGATCTGATATTAGGTAATATTTTTGGCCATCAAAATGAATTTGTTGGTAAAGTGGCTATTAACTGATAAATATTGACTGGGTAAGAGTCTTCTCGCTTATCTGGTAAAACTCTCGGACCTTAATATGTCTTTTACCGAATAAGGTTTATGTGTTTTCGTACTCAATCGATAAGAAAAAACGATACGTGATATTCGCTTACTCGATAAACCGCTCTTTAGTGATAAATAGCAAATTAAAAAAAATGCAAAAAAAACCTAAACATCTTTTTATTCAATTTATATTTTTGTAAATCATATATTTAATAGTTTATTAGAAAAGTACTCGCGCAATGCAGCAAGACACATCTCGATTTTAATGATATATTTTATTCTATATCTGGTGATGTTATAATACAATTTTATGTGTGTTTAAGAAAGTAATAATGATTTTATTTTTTAATAAAATATAAATTTAAAGATATCATAAAAATTTGAAAAACTATATCAATATTGATATCCAATCAACTATTTAGAAGTTCTTATTTTTTAAGTAATTTCTTTAATTTAAATTTTTATTATAATTTAATTTAAGTTTAGTAAGAAATTAATAAATTTTTGGTTTGATAATATAACATTTTATAAATATAATAATTAAGTATTCTGTTACAACTCAATGATTATTCTAATTATATTTTAGATTTTTTATATTTAAAATAAGATGTTAATCCTATTTTATATTATATTTATCTGCAATTAATTACACGAATTTAGATATGGAGCTTTGATAAGTTGTATTTACATACAATCTACTTGTAATCGTGAGTTTTAAGTAACATGTATTAATAAACAATACTTTATGTATAAAAAAAATGGTTTTTAGGAGTTTTTGTTAAATGATTTATATATACTATACTATAAAGCATTTGTCAAAAACTCTTAAAACCGTTTTTTATGCGTAAAGTACTGTTTATTAATACATATTACTTAAAACTCAAGATTATAAGTAGATTGTATGTAAGTACAACTTATTAAAGTTATATATATGAATTCGTGTAACTAACCGTAGATAAACATAATCAAATACATGATAAACATCTCATTTTAAATATAAAAAATCTAAAATATAATTAAAATAATTATTGAGTTCTAACAGAATACTTAATTATTATTTTTATAAAATGTTATATTATTAAACTAAAAATAAATTATTTCATTATTAAACTTAAATTAAATTATAATAAAAAAATAAATTAAACAAATTACATAAAAAATGACAACTTTTAAATAGTTGATTTGATATTAATATATTCTTTTTCAAAATTGTATAATATATTTAAATTTATATTTTATTTAAAAATAAGATTATTATTGCTTTAAACACATAAAATCGTATTATAACATTGACAGAGACAAAAAAATAAAATAGAACATTAAAATCGAGATGGGTCTCGCTGTATTGTACGAATACTCTTATAGTAATATAGTATAGATATAGATACTTTCAAAAGGGAGATTTTTAAGTATATAATTTTAAACGAGATTTTAATTGAATTTATGATTTTTTTTATCAGTATAAATTCATAAAAACTGATTTAATTCCATTTACACGACGACTCTTTAAAAAGCTTTACAAAATCAGAATCAATTGAGGGGAGGTGATAGACACTCTATGGAGGCTGTGGACATGTTAGAGGCCATGAGGGTCCTCGATTCTTCACTTTCTCGAATCAACTGGCGTCTCAGAGCTTCGTCAAGGCGTCGTCTTGAGACAGGTCCTTCATGCTTCCTTTTGAAATTCAATTTACTCTTATTGTTGTCGGCTTCGGTTGTAGGAACCCTAATTAGCAAACTATCTCTCACCCTATTCATCTTACTACTTCTAACACTTTGAATTATGATAAGAGTTAGTTTAATGTATCACTACCTCGAGAATTCTGTATCTGTGTCAAATGTATCACCAACGAATTAGTTTGATCAATGTGGTTCGATAATACTCAAATATCTAAACTACCCAAATAATAGTAGAAAATAGGAATAGTATTTGGATCAAAATCGATGCCACCAACTTCATTCTAATGCTGGCTTGAAATTTGGCCAGGGAATGTTGGTGATTTTAGTGTCACCGGTTTCATTTGGTGTAATGAGTAAATATACGAGAGCTAAAGGGGGTCTTTACTTAGTTTTTTATGCAAGTTAGGAGGTGCGGAGCGCACACTTGTACAAGACTAGATTGATCCTGGTACGACCAAAAGGTGGGGGGTCAAGGGGACTGAACCCCCTTCAGCGGGCGGGGTCGAGGGGGGCCTCAGTAGGCAGCTTTAAATAAGTTCGTTCCAGGATGTATGCTCCTGAACTGACTTGATGATCTCTAGAACGAACTTTTTCGAACTGACTCGTTTGGTTTCATAACGGAGGTTTTGGATTTGTAACTGCTGTTAACTTCTCATAACCTTCGATAACTGTCTTTGGCCTTATCCTTATCCATTTATGGATGACTCTGAGTATAAATGCTCATTAAAATTTGTTTTTTGGCTCAAATCTAAGAATTCGAATATTCAAAACCTACAGTAACGTGATCTCTTTTCTGTGCCTAAGATATTAGATTGTTCCTTCTTGGATTATCCCATATTCAGAATTTCGTGCAACCCAAGGCTATAGGGTCGAAATATCTGATTAGGAAAGTGATATACACAATCCAAGCAACGATCCAAGCAATTGTGATTTCAGAAAACCACCCTATTGTACATCTACCCCAACAATCGAATTAGATATTTTCCTGTTTTCTACAATCATGAGCGAGTCTGTGAAGGATATGATGAGCAAGTTCAGTAAGTTGGAGAAATTTCAAGGAAACAATTTCAGAAGATGACAGAAGAAGATGCATTTTCTGCTTACGACTCTGAAAGTCGTTTATGTGCTAATTACCCCAATGCCCGAAGTGATGGAGGACGAGACATTGGATCATACAAGGAGGAGAAGCAACTAAGCAAGTGGGAGAACGATGATTACATCTGCAGGGGTCATATTTTGAACGGTATGTCAGATGCTTTATTTGATATCTACCAGAATGTTGAAAGCTCTAGGGAGTTTGTGGAATTCACTTGAGTCGAAGTATATCACTGAAGATGCTTCGAGTAAGAAGTTCTTGGTAAGCGATTTCAATAACTACAAGATGGTGGATTCGAGGCCTGTTATGGAGCAATATAATGAACTATTACGTATTCTTGGTCAATTTACACTTCACAAGATGAATATGGACGAATCCATTGCGGTGTCGAGTGTAATTGACAAACTTCCCCCTTCGTGGAAGGACTTTAAGCATACGTTAAAACATCAAAAGGGGGAGATGACCCTGGTTCAGTTGGGAAGTCATTTGCCCATAGAAGAACCCCTTCGTGTGCAGCAAAGTGACAAGAACAAGGGAAAATCTGAAGTGGACAGCCCGCTGTCCATGTTGTGGAAGAGAAGAAATCTGGACAAAACAACAATGGAAAAGGAAAAAAACGCAAACATGATGGCCATGACAAAGCCAACAAGAAACCGAAAGAGTTGGTGTGTTTGAGATGTCAAAAAAGTGGCCATATGAAGCGTGATTGTCGTGTGAAGCTCAACAAAAACGGTGCAGGAACTAGTGGTAGCGGTCATGGTGGGTCTAAGGACCAAGGACCACCCAAAGGTTAGTTTGTAATTGATCTTGATAATTCTATCCAGAATAATGTTTCACTAATTCCGGAAATTTGTAATGCACAGGAGGATGAAAACTCTTGGTAGATTGATTCGGCTACGACTACCCATGTTAGCAAGGACAAATCTTGGTTCGAGAAGCTTGAACTGGTTGATGACGGGTCCTATTTGCGTATGGGAGATGAGTCGGTGAAGCCGGTTGTTGGGCGTGGTGTTGTTAATTTAGAATTTACTTTCCGAAAAACAATTTCATTATTTGATGTTTTGTATGTCCTGAAGGTTCGGAAGAACCTTGTTTTGGGTAGTATGTTGAACTCTCTAGGCTATAAACAAGTTATCAAATCGGATAGGTATAAGAATGGTAGTTTTTCGGATTTGGTTATTTATGTGACCGTTTATTTCGTTTAAATGTTGTATATAAAATAACATCTTGTGATAATTCCGTTTTTATGACCTCTACTTGCAAATTAGATGATTCTATGCTTTGGCATGCTAGATTAGGTCACGTGAACTTTAGGAAAATGCATGAAATGGCTAAAATGGATTAATTCCAGCTTTTAACATTAGTGCTGAGAAATGTAAGACTTGTATACTTACGAAAATTACAAAACAACCTTTTCCGAATGTGTATAGAAATTCGGGTGGTTCGGAGTTGATTCATAGTGACCTATGCGATTTCCACTCTACTCCTTCATTAGGAAATAAAAAGTATGTTGTTACTTTTATTGATGATTCAAGTTGGTTTTGCTATGTGTATTTATTGCATTCCAAAGACGAAGTTTTGGAAAAGTTTAAAATATACAAAACCGAAGTGGAATTGCAATTAAGCAATTCAATTAAATGTCTTAGAACGGATCAAGGAGATCCCCAATACTTTCAATCCGTTAGAATTATCCATGAGACGACGGCTCCTTACACACCACAACAAAATGGTGTAGTTGAATGGAAAAATCGAGTTTTCAAGGAAATGGTTAACTCGATGCTTTCTTACTCAGGTTTAAGTGAGGGATTTTGGGGAGAAGCCATGTTAACGGCTTGTTATGTATTAAATAGAGTTCCAAATAAAAGGAACAAAACAGCCCCGTATGATCTTTGGTTCAAAAAAGCTATGAATTTGAGTTATTTTTTGGTTTGGGGCTGTCGGGCTGTTGTAAAACTACCCGAATCCAAGAGGAAAGCTTTGGGGGAAAGAGGAATAGATTGCATATTTATTGGTTATGCAGAAAATTCCAAGGCCTACAGGTTTTATGTAATAGGACCTAACAATTCCTGTCGATAAACACCGTAATCGAGTCGCGCGATGCTATTTTCGATGAGCTGCATTTTTCTTCGATTCAAAGGCCTAAAGACCTACATCCTAGAGCAGTGAGGTGGAAAATCCAGAAGCTTTGGATGGTGTTTTAGCCCCAGAAACACAGCAGCCTCGAAAAAGCAAAAAAGGCCCAATTGCGGAAAATTTTGGTCCCGACTTTCAATTGTATTTGGTTGAGGGTTCGAGGGACGAAGTAGGGCTGCAATTTTTATTGTTATCATGTTGAGGATGATCCTAAGTCCTTCAAAGAGGCCATGGAGTCCCGGGATGTTGCCTTTTGGAAAGTGGCCATTGATGACAAAATGTCGTTGATTTTAGAGAAAAATACTTGGGTATTGTCAGATTTGCCACTGGGTTCAAAACCTTTACGTTGCAAATGGATATTTAAGAAGAAGATGAAAGTAGATGGGACTATTGACAAGTTCAAAGCCCTGTTGGTCATACAAGAGTTTAGGCAAATGCACTGGTAACTCGTATATCTACCATTAGGTTGTTGATTGCCTTGGCGGCTATCCACAATCTGATCCATCAAATGGATGTCAAAATAGCCTTCTTAATGGTGATCTTGACGAGGAAGTTTACATGAAACAACCGGAAGGTTTTATCATGCCCGGTAATAAGCATAAAGTATGTAAACTTGTGAAATCGTTGTACGGGATGAATCAAGCCCCTAAACAATGGCATCAAAAGTTTGATGAGGTAATTTTGTCAAGTGGTTTTACTCTAAACTAATCCGACAAATGTGTATATAGCTGGTTTAACTCTTCCGGTGCCGGTGTGATCATTTGTCTCAATGTAGACGACATGTTGATTTTTGTACGGATCAACATCAAGTTGATGAGACCAAAAGTTTGTTGTCATCAAGGTTTTCTATGAAGGACATGGGGGAGGCTGATGTGATCCTTGGTATAAGGATTAAGCGGGTGAATAAAGGGATTGCGATGACACAATCACATTATATTGAGAAGATTCTCAAAAAGTTCAATTATAGTGATTGTTCACCCGTCTGCACTCCTATGGATCCAAGTGTGAAATTAATGTCTAATAAAGGCATGGCTATTTCACAATTAGAATACTCACAAGCTATAGGTTGCTTGATGTACGCCATGACAAGCACCCGACCTGATATTGCTTATGCCGTTTGAAGGTTAAGTCCGTATACTAGTAATCCTAGTGCTCAACATTGGCAAGCAATTCAACGAGTATTTAAGTATTTAAAGGGAACCATGGATTATGGTTTGTGTTATCTTGGATATCCTTCGGTGTTAGAAGGATATTCGGATGCAAGTTAGAATGTCCAATGTAGAGGATCATTCTTCTACAAGTGGTTGGGTATTTTTGCTCGGGGGAGGTGCCATTTCTTGGGCATCCAAGAAGCAAACTTGTATCACAAAATCAACGATGGAATCTGAGTTTGTTGCGTTTGCCATGGCCGGTAAGGAAGTCGGAATGGCTAAGAAACTTAGTTTATGAGATCCCATGGTGGTCAAAGCCGATTGCACCTATTTCTGTCCATTGTGATAGTGCGACCACTTTGGCTAAGGCTTATAACCAAGTTTATAATGGCAAGTCTAGACACTTAGGTGTTAGACATAGCATGATTAGAGAATTAATCATTATTGGTGTGATCTTGGTGGAGTTTGTAAGGTCGCAACATAATTTAGCGGACCATCTTACGAAGAGCTTGGTCAGGGACTTGGTGCACAAGTCGGTGATTGGGATGGGTTTAAAGTCTATTTAAATCCTTAATGGTGAGACAACCCAATTCCCCTCTAATATGACATTAGAGGCTGAATTCAATGTGGAAAGCTCACACTTTTGGATTTGGAAGACATGTTTAATATCATCCCAAGTTAGTGTGTTCGGACCTGTAGTTGAAAGGTTGAATTTATTCTTAATAATTCTTTTGATAAATTGTAAGCAGGTACATGAATAAAGGAATTACTTATATGATCGTAAAGTGTAGCCGCGCTTCAAAAAGCTTGGGACTTGGCTTTTCATACGATCAAGAACGGATTAGGACACCCGGCTTAAGAATAGTGTCATGTTTTAATTTTACTAGTTGGGTTTTTAAATTTGGGTGTATATTATCTTTTGGTATTCAAATGGGTTGATCCTTAGGACACCCTGATTCTCGAATATTTGAAATGTGTACTATACCAAGTGAAAATTCAATCGTATCGACATTTTCATTTATGCACAAATTTGGTTTATTCTATTCTGGTTTGTATATTTCCATGGTTACACTAAATGGGGGAGGATTGTTGGTGATTTTAGTGTCACCGGTTTCATTTGGTGTAACAGGTAAATATACGAGAGCTAAAGGGATCTTTACTTAGTTTTTTATGCAAGTTAGGAGGTGCAGAACGCACACTTGTATGAGACTAGATTGATCCTGGTACGACTAAAAGGCGGGGGTCAAGGGAGCCGCGCCCTTGGCGGGGGTCCAGGGAGCCGCGCCCTTGGCGGGGGTCCCATATCTCATACTCCTGTTATGGAAAAACATCTTTCTGATGTGTGTTCTCATTAACTGACTTGATGATCTCTAGAATTGACTTGTTCGAACTGACTCGTTTGGTTCTTGACTAACCAATAGTTAGTTCCTAACGGAGGTTTTGGATCTGTAACTGCTGTTAACTTCTCATAACCTTCGATAGCTCTCTTTGGTCTTATCCTTATCCATTTATGGATGACTCTGAGTATAAATACTCATTTAAATTTGTTTTTTTGGCTCGAATCTAAGAATTCGAATATTCAAAACCTAAAGTAACGTGATCTCTTTTCTGTGCCTAAGATATTAGATTGTTCCTTCTTGGATTGTCCCATATTCAGAATTTCGTGCAACCCAAGGCTATCGGGTCAAAATATCTGATTCGGAAAGTGATATACACGATCCAAGCAAGAATCCAAGCAATTGTGATTTCAGAAAACCACCCTATTGTTCATCTACCCAACAGGGAACACATTGCTATTAATTTGGGACATGGAAAAACATTTTTGCATTTTATTTGGGTTAGTGGCTGGTGAGTGTTCTTTTTATCTTCAAAATTGCAAAGAAACATTTCTCTGTCAAAGAACCAAAGAAACCAAACAGTAAAGACACCCCACTAGAAAGCAGTAAGATGTAGGTAGATCTTACCTTTATGTTAAAGAGTAGAGCAACTATTTCCATGAAGACCCCAGCTTGCGAAAAAAGTTTGCAAAAGGATCAAAAATGGACTTTTTTCTCAGACAGTATCATCTTTCTTCTGTTCCTGAACTGGAGAATTTGCACTGCTTGGGTAAGTTTTTTTTGAGTAACCGGGCCTGGTTATTAATCCCCCGGGCAACCATGAATGGCTTGGAATCATTGCAGGTGAACCTCCATGGCCACATGGGTTTTGTCATTGCCTGGATTCGATAAGTTTTTCGATTCTATGCTTTTAGTGATTCTAAAAGGTATATATGGACATTTCAGGTCAAAAAAAGTACATTGTAACTCGTGATACGGATAAATTTTTCTGATAGATGCTTAAGATAGAAAGGTGTTGCTGTTAAATTTAAATCAAAATGGCTATTCTAAAAATCAAAATTTTGTTGATTTCTAAGCATTTTGCAATTTTTATCCCCCCCATTAAACTCTATGATAAGTGCTTGAAAATAAAATGAAAATCTTGACAGATAAGAGAACACCAATATTAATTTTCATATTCAGAAGTAGGTTTGACCTAAGAAAGTTTAGATGTATTTCTCTTTCTTTGCACATGTGTGGAGTAAATTTTAATTGCTTATATACACAAAGTATTATGTATAAGTAATCCTTTTGACAGAAGGGGTGATATTTTGACATAATTTGGTCCATATCTCATACTCGTGTATCTTTTGGATTTTCGGCTTTTTCACTCCACTTGGTCTTTTTGCTTTTAGATTGCAAAGAAAAAGGTTCATTTAGCTCATTACAGGTGTAGTAACAATTTGATATTTAATGTATATTTTAGCAGATATTCTGGCATTATGCACGGGGATGAGACCAGTAATAATGATAGATTATGGTGGAAAGATGCCTGAACTAAGAGAACGACTATGTGCATTTCTCAAGCTTACACAAGAGGTATTATTACGACTTATGCGCAGCTAGAATTCTCCAGCTTGTTTTGTTCTCTTACATCTGTTTCTTGTGTTCTTGGCATTCAGGAATCTTCTATCTTTGAGAATTTACGGGTCATGGTTATTGAAGATATGATATATTTGATACATATTAGAGGGCTTGCAGATCTTATCAAGTTAACAATAAATAAAGAACAGGAAGTGCATTTTATTGACCTTGAACGAGATCCACCGAAGGTTAAAACTTAAAAATATCATCAAGATCTACTACATTTTTGAGGTTGTATTAGTTCCTAGGTCCATTTACTAATTCCCTTTTTTTAACATCAATTAATCCAGATTATAACAGAGATCGAAAGGTGTTCCATAGGAGCACAATTTGTATCGCTACAGAAGCTGTTTTCTTCAGTTTTTTGTGCCAATGATGATGTTTTGGGATGTGGGAGAGGCTCAACAAGTAATGCTGAATCCTCTGATTGTCAGCTTCCTGTTTCTCCTCAGCCTTCTGACTTCATCGACCTCAGTCATTTTATGCAAGACACACTTGTCACTGTACCAACTCTAAATGGGTAATTTTATGTTGATTTTATTTTTTAACATAATTTTCCAACAAATTAAAGATGGGACTATGTCTACATGTGTAATATATTTATATGTTATTTTATCATGCAAAATTATTAGTTCTCCCGAGAAAATCAAATGAGCAGGACCTGTGTGGTTTGATAAAACAGAACATGACTTCATGGCAAACTTCGTTCCTATGGGTTTACCAGTATTTGCTTCGACTTGAATCATGATATATCTCTCCATGTGTGTTGTATAATTATTTAGATTCATTAGAGTTCATAGCAAACTATAGGTGGAAATTGATCATTGCAACATAACCAATAACCAGCAAGAAATACTTGAAGTTTATTGACAATGTGTATGTAATTTACCTTTTTAATTCAAACCTGAGAGTTTATGCTAAAAATAGAAAGTAAATTAATCCAAATTGGCTGCTGGCTTAATCACTACCATTAAGCTCTAAACATACAACCCCTTAACCCTTAGGGTATACTATGATTATTTGTTCAGACTAACCCATCAGATGTACTAAATATTCGGGGTTCTTCACTTGTATCATTATGTCATTCTTTGAACCTAAACATCTGCATTCAGCAAAAATAGAAAAACAAAAAGGAGAGCAACAATACGTCTTAACAGTGTGGATATCATGGCTACTTGTTTCAAATTTGTTCACAAATTGCAGGCATACATACACACCCCGACACCCAGGCACTTAAATGTATATTTTTAATTTTGGAAGTTAAGTCTCATTAGTAGCAACTCAAAAGATGTCTACTTTGCTGCAGGTGGCTTCTTGGTTACCCGGTGGTGTACATTTTTGGCAAGGACCATATAGAAGATGCTGTATATAATCTCTCCACAAAGTCGCTACATCTTTTCAACATTTTTGTCTGCAGGTTTGTGGTTACTGGTCTTATTTTACCTCCTATTTTATACAGATAGCCATAGGTCCAGAACTCTAGAGATGAATCTTGCTGTCTTGCTAAACAAGAAACGTAGTTCGTGTTTATGTGTCAAACATATTGCTTCTTTAAAAATTGCAACTGAGATTTTGTAATGTTTGATAAAATATTATTAACTGCTTGAACATACGAAGGATGCCAAGAAACACTGAAAATGGTACAAAAAATATTGTTAACTGGTTGAACATATAAAAAAATGTCAAAACGTATTATTCTAATTCAAAAACAGGAACTGATTCCATGTTCGTTTCTAATTTGGTGTACATCAAACTGTAGGAACAGTAGCTCCGGTAAAAGACCACAAGAAGAATTAATGAGGTAAGACTCTTAAGTCCTTCGGTCTATATCTCAGTTAACTATTTTTATTATTTTCTTGGTTTAATGCCTTCTATCTAGCTTTCTAACATTCCTGAATTTGGTCATTTGATTATGTGAGTCAACTGTTTATTCATCTAACCCTTTGACTTCTTTGACATCCCGGTTTGGAAAATATTCATGTCTAGTAAAGTAGAGATCTTAGAAAAAAAATATCAATTAAATCTGCTCGTTTCTAAGGTCTACATGTTCCATAACTTGGGTTGGAGGCTAAATAGGGACAGAATAGTGGTGTTTGGATCCGTGTGATTAACAAAGCAAAGGGAAAGCCATATGAAACGTGTTTGACAAATACGCAGCCTCATAAAACCAAATGAAACGAATGCAGCCATCCATATCCTGCAACAAGGTGCAGGGTAGGCCGTAAGAATATATGCAGACCATGCAACTTCATATGAGTTATCGAGCGTATGTATGTTTTTCTTGTGGCTATTTGTAAAAATAACTTCCAGGTCATGATTCATGAAATGCCAGTTTCTCGGTACCTTATGATCTGAGCATAGACGGGGAGGACGAACCATGGGCCGAGGCATTTCTGGTTCGGGTGAAGGCCAAATGGGAAGGATGCAAGCATGTTTGGGGGTCCTTGAAGATGGAGGTTAGTTCTACTTATCCACAAGCAATTGCATTGTAACCATTGTTAAACTGTCTTTGTTATTTTCAAATTCAAAGCAACATTTCAGTTGCTGTGGTTTTATCCCTGTATGTATGGTTGTCTAAAGGGTAAAATAGTCATTTTCTATACCTGAAAATAATGGGAAAGATATGACTCACATATAGTAGGTGGAGTAAATGGTGGCTGAAGCTTTTAGGGACAACCACTGTTATCCTACATTTGTTTGCCTGCAGAGATTTTGTATATTTATGTGAAAACATAGAAAAGTAGTGTTATATTTTAGAGTAAACTACGTTTTTGGTCCCTGTGGTTTGTTAAAAATTACAACTTTCGTCCTTGTGTTTTCGAAATTACAGTTCCTGTTCCTGTCGTTCGTAATTTATTGTTGTTTTCATCCTTGAGGCTAATCTTGTCATTGTCTTACCCTCAAATACAAGGGACGAAAACGACAATGAATTGTAAACCATAGAGCAAAAAATGTAGTTTACTCTATATGTTGAAGAACCAATTGAAAATGCTCTGATACATTGAAGATTTTGAATTCCAATATGTTGAAAAATCAGATGAAGATGCTATGTATAGTTTATAGATTCTAAAATCATATATTTGCATCAAATAACATGACTTGAGCTTTTTTTTCTTTTTATTAACCTGGATATCCAACCCGCTATTCGAGCCGAACTAAACCCAAGGCGACCACTTGCTTTACGGATAAACTGGAGCCATAGAATTTAAACCTCCATGACTACAAGAGAATTTTTGTTGCTTTTTGGATTTTAACCCGGGAGATCTAATGTTTTTCTTGGTATAAAATGTTGGCTATTGAAATGCACGATCAGCAATGGCAACCTTGATTTTTGTGACCAAAGGGTCTTTGGCCTAGCGGTATTGTAGTCCTTGGCCTTCTAGGAGGTCAGGGGTTCAAACCTCACTATAGGTGAGGAGGGTGTGTGAGTTTATTTGTTGCATTTTGCCATATATAAATATTATATACTAAAAAAAAAAAAAAAACCTTGATTTTTGTGAAAGAAAACAAGGTTAGGTGAGATATGGAATTATGGGGGTAGGTTGAGTGGAAAACAAATAATTAAATTTATTTATTATTTATTAATTCCATATATAACTCTTAAAAAGTCAACATTTTTTTAATTTCATTATTTATCAATATATTTTATTCAAAGTGTGACTAGACATCTAAGTGGCAAGGTAATATTTAATTATATGCACAAATTTATTATATATATATATACCAAAAGAGTATTTGTGCAATGCAGCAAGATATATCTTGATTTTAATGTTTTATTTTATTAGTTGTTTCTGTCGATTTTATATTTTTAAAAAAACAATAATGATTTTGAATAAAATATAAATTTGAAGATTTCATAAAAATTTAAAAAAATATATAATGTTAATATCAAATCAACTATTTAAAACTTTTCATTTTTTATGTATTTTTTTTAATTTATTTTTTTAATTATAATTTAATTTAATTTTAATAACAAAATAATTTATTTTTGGTTTAATAAAATATATTTTATAAATATAATAATTAAGTATACTGTTAAAACTCAATGATTATTCTAATTGAAAAAGAGAGTTTGAAAAACGTAATAAGAGATCTCCAATCTTGGATGCACAGAGATGCACCAGATCAATCCACATATCAAGACGATTCATTATGATCAATGGTTCAGATTCATTTTTATGTTTCTCATTTTAACTATTATTCTCACACTAATCATTCGTATTTACATATATTCTCATATGTTTTAACTTAAAATTATAATAAAAAATAAAAATAAGAAGATTAATTATAGCCTTCAAAAAGTATATATATATATATATATATATATATATATATATATATATATAGGGTTGGGCTCATGTGAGACCAATCTGTTTTCGTGAGACCAATCTGTTTTCGTGAGACCTGTGAGACCACATTTTTACACTTGAAACTTCACAACAAAAACACTGTGAAGGTTTAAAAAAGTCGAACCTTCACAGCATTTTGCTGTGAAGTTTCAATTGTAAAAAGTTGGTCTCACGGGTCTCACGAAAACAGACTAGTCTCACGTGATCCCAAGTCTATATATATATATATATATATATATATATATATATAATATTAATTCGTACTTTTTTTTCCCATTGGTAGCAAATTAGGTATGAAATTGTGTTGGAAGAATAATGGCATAGAGGGTGGATTGACGCTAAATGTGGACCACACCCTCACCAAATTAAAAAAGCTTAAAGTAATTATTTAAGAAGTTATATGTAATTTAATTATCATCTTTCTTTTTAAAAAGAATTGCATCAAGACCCACGCCTATGTTGTAGCACTCGCATATGATTCATTCTCATCCAATAAATTACTCTTTCAAACAATATTTAACATATATATATATATATATATATATATATATATATATATATATCATTCTTGAATGCAGATTAAGATGAAATGTATCAAAAATCAATCACTGTATTAAGCATGGTTTAATATGGTGATCAAGAGTTTAGATCTCTTCTTATACTTCTTACCTTAACTCTCATTCTTGTACGATCATTCGTCTTTAATATATAGGTGAAGGATCGTGTGAGAAAAAGAATTAAGATGAGAAACGTAAGAAGAGATTTGAAACCTTGATCACTTTTAGGGTGTGTTTAATTTATTGGACATGATAGAATAGAACATGGATCTTTGTTCTATGTTTGACATGACTTTTATCACCTCTATCCCCATAGAACAGGGTCAAACAGACTTATATTTTACTAATTTAACCTTAAAATAAAACTTAGTTCTCTTCTAAAATATCAAATAGGCCTCATTTTTATATTTTATTCATTCTTTAAAATTTTATTTATTCTATTTTATGTTTTTTAAACTTTCATTTACTGTCCTCAAAATATTGTTTTTATACGGTTTTCTATATTAATATTAATTTATGTAATTTATTATATATTAGTAATAAAAAGAGAAATTAATTAAAATAGTCATTTTTACCGGTTGTTTTCACCTTTTAACCATTTCTTTACAAGGTTTACCAAAGTAGCCTTAGCTCTGCACTTTTTTTTTTTTTTTTGCAGATCTGGGTGAAAAATGTAATTTTTTTTGCGGACAGGATTAGAAAGTCTAAATGTTTTTTTTTGTCTTTTAGTTGGGCTGCAAATGTAGACGTGAGTTTTGTGGACCTATTGCTATTTTGGTAAATTTGAAGAGAAAATGACTAGGAGGTTAAACCAACCCTAAAAATGACTATTTTAATAAATTTCCCAGTAGAAAAGAGATAAAAATAAAAATTGAAAACTACATAAACTTTTTATTTTGTCATTTTAATTGTTTTGACGAAAACTTTTTAATGATATATTTTGTTATAAAAATAATAATTATGTTATTATAATTTAATAAATTACATAAATTAATCAAAATATATAAACAACTCATTAGAGGTAAATTGATCATTTTACTTGTTCTGTTATATTCAGTTATGTCTTATTAAACGATGAACAGTTGATTTGTCCTTTCCTAAGTTGTCTGAACACCAAACGCACCATTAGTCTCATAAACAACCATGAATTGCGCTTTAGAAGGGGTTTGACCGTTGCATCTCAGTGCAATCATTAGCGTTGACATTCAATTAAGATTGATTCAAATATATAGATCTCTTCTTATGCTTCTCTTCTCACCGAAACCTAATCCTTAATATATATATATATATATATATATATATATATATATATATAGGTGGAGGTTTAAACGAGACACCTCCATTTTACGAAAACATGAGAACATTCTTATCTCATGTGAAAATTCATGTAAGGAACATGGTGATGTAAATGACTTGACCTACAACCTAGGTTGTGTCAAACATCATCTGTGTTTTACTTTCATATCACATGTAATAATAAATGTGGCGGGGACTTGCGGTCGCGTACGGACGCGAGATCGTGTGAGAATAATAATTATGGTATAAATAAGGATATACTTCTTGACCTTTGCATGAATTGACTTTTTAATCTAACTTCATTTTTCTTCAATTACATTTACTTACTTTTATCTTCATTTTTGTCACTTTCACAAACCTTTTTATATATATTTAATCACTTTCACATATATGAATCTGTTAAAGTTTTGGTCCTAATAATAAATAACTGTAGATGAAGATATATGAAAGTTTTATTCTCACAATCTCAACGTTGTCGGTTGCTTGTGCTCATTAACTTGTAACATTACATTTGCTTTAAACATACGTTCCTATAAAATGAGACACTTCGTCATGAGTCACATTTTTAATCTCCTTTTTTTTTACTTTTTCATAAAATCGGGGTCTTCATAGAAATAACTGCTATATCATTTGAGATAGATGATAAGCTTTCAAAACCTAACTAATAAATTCAGTATGATATAAATGAAAATAAAGCAAGTGAAATGAGGCAATAAATTGGAAATTTAGGATTTAATTCAAAGGCTTTGCAAAACACGAAACAAGCAATCTAAAGTCTACACATACAAACCAAAAGGTGAACCCACACTCTTGAGTTACAAAATCCCTGGCTTTCGCTAATCGACATGACTCGATTTCGTTGTTTTTTTTCATTTAATCATTTGATTGGTGATAATACAAAACCATTTCGGACAAATTTATTTTTCAATGAAGAGGACGACAATGGATTTCTTTTTCCTTAACAATGTTCCTTGATAAAGCCTTGGACCTCTGACACGGTAGGAAGGGCCGGAATCGCACCCTTTTTGGTGGTCGTGATCGCTCCACAAGCACACGCGTATCTCAGCAGTTCTTTCAACTTGCCTTCGTCCTGCATTTCCACACCAATTTTCAGCACAACGTCTTATATCAATTTAGCAAAGACATCACTCAGACTCCATCTCTGTGTAAGATGCATTGGTTTAGTCCGGTTTGGTTAGTTGAGAAACATTACCTCTAGCACGGAATGGTCATCGACGATCTTGGTCAGGAGGGCACCAACAAAGGAGTCACCCGCACCAGTCGTGTCCACGGCCTTCACTGCGAAAGCTCCCACCGTTCCATGAAAATTCTGCAATCATCAACATTCATGATCTGAGTACGTATAACATATACTTTGACGTTAAAGCTTTTCGGCTCTATTTTATATTTTATTTTTTCTGTAATTTTATACTGAGATCGAAGACTCGACTTTAAGTCTTTCGATAGGTGAATGTGGTGCTTTCAGCATTAAAAACACAAGAATTTAATAGTCAAATATGGAGCAGTGAGGACGAAGGTGTTGATTCATCATGGTGTAGGACTCTTTGTCCTCACCTTTTAATGAAAAGCAGGACTGAATAATAAAGTTGGAGATGGCCCCTTTTTGTGTACCAACACTTTAATGATTAATTTTATGACCCATGTTTTTATTTAATTTTTACACGTTAAAAATCAATTACTTCAAAAGAATCCAAGGGGTTTATCTGGTGAAGATGACTTTATATCTGATTCAACATTTTTTTAATTGAAGCATATAATATTAATATATAGTAAATATAACGAATAAACTTATATACCTTTCTAACTTTTGATAAGATTTAAACCCCCTAAACTCATTAAATACAACAATTTATGTAATATATCCTGACCCAACTTTCTTTCCAAAAATAACCCCAGTAATTTCTTTTTCTTTTTTAATCAATGAATTCCCTTTTCTACAGCATGTCTATCCAAATCATATTTTTTCTATTAATAATATAATGGTAACATTGATTTGCAAGATTTTGTATTTCATCAATAAAGGATATTTAAGATATTATATTAATAACTGAATATTTTCGTTAAAATCCATGTTTAGTTATTGTACATATAAAGCTCAAAAAAATGACCAAAGAAAAGGGTATTTCAGTAACGTATAATTTTTTGCCAATTCAAAATCTTGCATTTCTTTTACTCCCTTGTTAAAAGTATTTAAATTAGCATGCCATATGCATATCTAAATGCAATTACCAAATTTACTCGCATTATAATTTATATGGATTGTAGAATTATAACATATGTGATACCTAGAACCAAGATTGACATATCCAAATTGATAATGAATGTAATAGCCATATGATAGTGAGGATGGGCACATACCTTGGTGTAGTAATTGCAACCCTTGTCACCAAGAGTGACCAACAGAAGCTTCAAATTAGGGTGCCACAAAGACATTGCAGCCTCATCATCAATCTTTTCACATCCTGTGAGAAATTCGAGCTCATTATCGCTCACCTTGATCACTTCGGCCTTGTCCCATATGCTCATGATCTGCTCACGCGCCTCCTCCGGTGACGGCCACAATGGCAACCGCAGATTAGGGTCGTAGGAGAGAAGAGCCCCTGCATCTTTTGCAACTTCCATCGCTTTAAGATGTGCTGATCTGCAGGGCTCCACTATCAAGCTTATTGACCCATAATGGAAAACTTTGGCCTGCAAATAATCAAGTGTATTAGCTGCTATCCAATATAATGCAACAGACATATGCATCTCCCCTTTTCAATCAACTATTTGGAAAAGATTCTGAAAATCTCCTTTTCCCATCCACTATTTTGGGCAATCAGAAAAGCAACCCACACTGTTTACTAATTGTTAAGAAAACTTGTCAAATCCACAAATGATTTATAACATAAGTGAAGATTTGATTTTGTCCCTGATTTAATGAAAAATATTCGAGTGTTAAGTAAATATTACATATAAAGATAAACACATATTCAAAAACAGAATTATGAATTTGTTTATAACTGCTATATAATATTCAACAAAGGATCTAATCTAAAAAAGGGACTGTTTCAAATAAAAGGGAAAAGAGCAAAAGACGGTCATTGCTGCAAGTTTTACTCAATGACACAAAACCACGTGTAGATGCACGCCCTTTTGTGATCTGTACCAACACAGTACGTCTCCCTTTTTATCACATTAAGGGTAGCATTTAGTTAAATTATACATAAAACAACAAATAATACAATGAATACACTTTGTTTTAGATCGACCAGAAATTTGCATCTTAGATTTAAATCTATATATACCCTTTTATCTCTTGTACCGATTAAAAATAATTAAATTAGATAAATCCTAATTTATTATTGGATGGAGGACTACAATTTAGGAAATAATATACCAAATTTCTGAATTTGGAATTTTATAAGTTGTGTGGATAGCTGTTTATATTATAATATATTCATGCCAAATTTTTCTTTTTTTTATTAACTTGGATATTCAATCCATGGCGATCACTTGCTTTGTAGATAGTCGGAGTTACAGCATTTGATCCTCCATAAAGAACTTTTTATTTCTCCTTAGATTTAAACCTTAGATCTAAACCTTAGATCTCATAGTACTCTTAGCCAAACTCAAACCAAATAGCTGATGGCAAATTTTTATATCTATGAATGAGTAAACAATCCAAAAAAATATCAACTTTAATTGTTAAAAAATGAGGATAATTCTATATTAAATTTTCTTCTAAAATGACGTTAATCATGGAAGTCAACAAAACCGTCCTTTTTGGTGATTAATTATATATTAAAAATTTGAGAGGGGGTTGGTGCGTGTGGAAAAGATAAAGGCGCGTGATCCAACGCGCCTCCACCGTTTCAACAATATATGACGTCAGATATATAGATATAGAATCTACTGTATGTATAGGCATAAACAGAGAGAGTACCAAGAACGAAAACGTACAGATCTAATGAGCTCAAGGTTGAGTTCATCGGGAGTCAATAACATATCTGCGCTAGGGTTCCGGTAGAACATAAACTCGCGATCGCCGTCGGCTTTCAGGGTAACAAATGCCAGAGCAGTCCGTGCTCCTTTATCGAAGTTGATTCCTTCGCCGCAGACGCCGTTCTCCTTCAAGATCCCGGCGAGCATGTGTCCAAACTCATCGTCTCCTAGCTTACCAACGAAAGCCGACTTTCCACCGAGCCTTGAGACCGCGATCGCGACGTTTGCCGGAGCACCACCTGGTGCCTTCAAAAATCCGGGCGCCTCAGCCAGCGATACGCCGGAAACGGTCGGAACGAAGTCTATCAACATCTCACCGAAACTGACGATCAATCCCCCCTCCTCTTTCACGACTCCATTGGTGGCGGCCATATCTCCGACTCAGAAAGCAAAATTAGCAAGAAATTGAAGAGGACGAGAGGGAGAGATAGGAGCATTGGGGGTTGGGGGGGTATATATAAAGCCAATATTGATCCCCGCCCCCTGCAAACCTTCAAAGTTTTTCCACAATTAATTAATTAATTAATAATTTGTACCATGAGTTTTATAAATCAATTTGGATAATTCAAAGGGTATATTAGTAATTTTACATTCACGCTGATAATATGCAAAAATCAATGTAATTAATGTTTTGTTTAAATTAGCAACAAAAGCGATGAGATTTTTTTACATGGTTACATATCATAACGTCTATTCTAAAGATTTTAATATATTATAAAATAAAGAGTTAATGTTATGGATTTGATCCCTGTAGTTTGCTGATTTTTACAAAAATGGTCTTTAAATTTTATTTATTGTGGATTTGATGCCTCTGATATGCACTTTCTGCTGTATTTGGTCCCTTTGACAAAAAGGTTGTCCAATAGGTCCATTAAAATGGAGGGCATAAGGATCTTTTTTGTGTTTTTCTATTTATTTTAATTGACCTTTTTATAAATAGGGACCAAAATGTAAACATTTTAACTTGGAGGGCCTAAGATGAACACCATTCATCTTCTTCTCCATGGCTCCAACCTCGCAGTCGAACACCATTAACGCTGCACTACACAAACATTTCAACAGATCCATCAGAATCATTACTTCTCTTTATGGAATCAACATAAAAAACGCGCACATCGCACACACTCGATGCTTGTTACACAACCAGTCATGATGATGGGGTGAGTTCACGATGGTATGATAATGGTGGTTGGGTGGATCCATCAAAACTGGGGCTCATCAGAGTAGTGAGGGAGGGGTTAACACCGAAAATGAAGGGGGGATGAGTAGTGAACAGGTTTGGTCAATAGGACGCTGGAGATGGAAGGGGAGGAGGCCAGTCGGTTGATGGCGGAGGAAGCCAGGAAGGGGCAAGTGGGACCAGGGAACAGGGCCGATCTTGAGGCGCTGGCGACAGAAGGTTCTTGGGACGGATATGATGGTGGGTGGGAAAGTAAAGGGAGGGCGAAGGGGGTGTTGGTGGGTGTGTGGTGGTCCGGTGGATGGTGGGGAGTTTGACGCTGCCGGAGATGGAGCGAGAGGGGGTTCACCGGTGACGGGAAAGATGGACGTAGGAGAAGAAGATGTTGTTTGCATTTAGCCCTCCAAGTCATAAATTATACATTATGGCCCCCGATTTAAATTTAAAAAAATAAAATAAATGAAAAACCACAAATTTATTTTGTACACGATGAAAGGTTCCATTTTTCTCTTAATGGGAGTTCCGGGTGTTTTTAACGGACTTGGTAGACGGCTGTTTGATCGAGGGGCCAAATACAACAGAAAGGGCATACCATAGGCATCAAATCCGTAATACATAAAGTTTAGGGACCATTTTTTATAAAATTAACAAATCATAAAAACCAAATCCATAATTTACTTTAAAATAAATTTAAACAATAAAATAATTATAATTAATGATTTCCAATTTATTAGATAACAAGAAAACACATTTTGCTAACAATCTTTTTGGATCTTTTATATATTTAATAATATTATTATTTGGAATGGTTATTTAATTCATAAATCATTGAAACCATATAAACTGATTCTCACAAATATTTTGTTATTTTTTAAAATTATTTAATAACTATTTTCTTTAAATTTACAATAATGTATTTAATTTGTATGGTACAAAGGTAGTAATTTACAATTTTAGAGAACTTTTAATTTACTTTATTGAATTTGTTGGTAGGGGTTGGTGGGGTGGTGGTCAGAACTCAGCAGTGGCCCAAGGTTTTTGCATGTAGTTTCTGAGCGTAATTCTCTAGATACATTTTATATTTATATATTAAAATGCTAAATATATAATTTATTTTAATTTTGATGATAAACATTTTTTATAAAGATAATAATAAGATTTAGTGATTATCTTTTTTTTAAGACATGTTTATCTGTTATTTATTAGTTAGTTTTATGATGTTTGAAAGTCGAAAAGGTCGAACAAAATAATTATGGATGTTCATCGGTTGAAAATCCAAAAGATTTAGGTGGATCTGATCTGATGTAATTAGCTTTATAATATCATTAATGTGAATTTATTAATACCAATGCACCAATTAAAGGTTAAAACCATGTTCATGGGGGTTGTTTTGTGAAAAAATCAATATTAAAAGCAATAAAACCATGTTCCCGATTTAAGAAAGACAATATAAGTTGGTATGTTTTAAAGTAAGGTGCAAAAATTGTTTGCATCCAATGGAATTTACTATTTAGTTTATTGATGGTAGTAATTTGTTACTGAATAATACATGGTTGTAAGGGTATTTTTGTCATTCTTTCTCATTTTTGTTGATCTAATCTCAATGCAAATGCAGTTGGCTTCTTGGAAACCTCATTCGATCTCCTTTGGAGGGTGTTTGACTTTTATGAAACCGGTCTTTAAAAGTGTGTTAGTATATAGAAGAGGATATGGATCGAGTTTTATGTTTGATATGATTTTTTTATGTTAAATAAACAAAAACGGAGTAGAACAGGCATGTTTTACTTTTACCCTATAGAATAAGGTGGAACAGACTTATATTTTACCAATATAACATCGAAATAAAACTTAATTTTCTTCTAAAACATCAAATATGTATCTTTTTTTACATTTATTTATTCTTTAAATTTTATTTATTGTATTTTATGTTTCTTAAATTTTTATTTTACTGTCCTCAAAATATTATTTTTATATGGTTTCTATATTTTTATTAATTTATGTAATTTATTATATATTAATAATAAGGGCAAAATGTGTGAAATAACAACCTACTTTTATATAAAAAGTTATTATAGCATTATACTTTCAGTTTTTTTATTACAACAATGTACTTTGAAAATATTTATTTATTAGAGCATCGTACTTTAAAAAATTTACCCATTATAGCATTGAGTAACCTTTTTAGATTAAATTCACCCATTATACCAGGTTTCTTTGCCACCTCATCGTCCACACAGGTTGTCCACATGTACGATAGTATTGACATGACATTTCATATTATCGCATTGTACTTTCAAAATTACTTTATTATACATCACTAATTTCTATTACAACATTGTACCTTTAATTTTTAATAAATTTTTATCATTTAAATATTATAAATTTAATCAAATATGTTTACTAAAAATTATAAATATAAAAAATTAAACTTGCTTGTAGAAGACCAATATTTCACGAATAAAATTATTCATAAAAATATCCGTTCATCGAGTTTATCGTAAATTTCATAAATATTTTATATTTTCATAAGTTGCTACTTTTTCATGATTAAATAAATCATTTTTATTTTTATTTCTAAAAAATAACATTTAAATAAACGACAAATCAACAAATATTTATGGAATATTATCATTTGACAATAAAAATTAATATCGTAACAATTTATTGTTACGTACCATTATTAGTGAAATTTAACTTTATGATGACAAATTCCCATTACAGTACGACTAAATTTATACGGCAACATTTTAAATGGATTTTACAGTAACAAATATTTTTTGTATTTATCTAAAATTTTATTCTTTTTCTATGGTCGTTTTTTTATACGACTTATTGTACTCTCTTATGACAAATATTTATAAGATACAAATTTTAAATGTTAAATATTTCTAAAGAAATTTATGATGAACTCAAAAAACGATTTTTATGAATATTTTTATTTTTATGGGTAAAATTAATTTAAAAGGTTACTCAATGTTATAACGGGTAAATTTTTTAAAGTACGATACCCTAATAAAAAATATTTTGAAAGTACATTGTTGTAATAAGAAAAACTGAAAGTACAATATTATAATAAAAAAATTTGCTATTTCGCGCATTTTGCCCTTGCAAATAATAAATAATGTAGAAAAGAGATAAATGTAAAAATTGAAAACTATACACTTTTTATTTAGTGTTATTTTAATTGTTTTGACGAAAACTTTCTAATGATATATTTTGTTATAAAAAATAATTATTCTATTATAATTTAATAAATTACATAAATTAATTAAAATAAACAACTCATTAGGGGTAAATTGATCATTTTACTTGTTCTGTTCTGTCCAGTTTCATCTTACCAAACGTTGAACAGTTGTTCTATCCTGTCATGTTTTGTCATGTCATGTCATGTCTTATCATGTCTGGACACCAAACACACCCTAAGAGCCTTCCTCTGTACTATTTCTCTTTTTTTTTTCGTGTTTGTGTACAAGTTCTTTCTAGTTTGGAGGGTGTGAAGAGATTTTTTTGGGAGGGGTGGTGGGAATTCTCTTCACAAAGAACACCGTGGATAAAATGGTCTACGGGTCTAAATTATTCTAAATCCGGGGGGAGGGGCTAAAGTCTAAAGCCGGGAAATTGGGGTTGTTAGAAAAACGGTGATGGCGCTTTCGGGTGGAATGTTATTCATTATGGGTTAGAGTGATAAAGAGTATGTTTGGGAACGATGGGGGTTTGGATATGTTCTTCGAACAATGTGGGTAGACATTGAGGGGTGTGGGGAATATTATTAAAGTAGGGATAGATATTGATAAGCTGAGAGTTAATTTTTCGGAGTCCTTTGATAAGAAGGTTGGGGATGACAGGTCTATAACTGTCTGATCGGATAAGTGGCTAGGGGTGAACTTGAGGAACTAATAAATTTGGATTCTGCAATTTATCTTAGTTGCAGTGAGGTGACAAAAAGGTTTGGTTTTTATCCGAGGATGGTAAATTTTCGACGGAAATTGTGAAAGTCGTGTATCTCAGGAAAATTATCCTCGTTGGTGTGGTTCCTCAAAAAGTTCAACATTTTTATCTGAAGATTTAGTCGTGGTAGATTTCCGGTTTTGTGAGATTTTGGACAAAATGAGGGTCGATTTGCATATAGTCTTGTGTCCTTAATGTGATTCTGAATTTGAGTCGATTGAATACTGTTCCTACGTTGTCCTTCTAAGTTCTCGTATTTGGTCAAGTATATGGAGATGGTGGAAATGATATCTTCTCTTTTCCTTCGAAGTTTCAACTTTCAAGAGGGAAACGTGGTTCGTT